GAATTCTCATCGAAAACTATTTAAAAAACCCAACACTTACAACTACCAATTTCCAACAAAGATTTCATAGTTCCTGAGTTTCAGTCTACACGAGTTCTATCAATCAATCTATCAATAGTGAATCAATCGGCGCCGGCGCAGGGTCGCGCCACGAATTTGTTCGTAAATCTACGAGTATCCGTTTCCGGTCCCAAATCGTGGCACGTGCCGATAAGTAGTTTGGGGAAGGAATTAAAAGAAATGTTTGTTTTTTTTTCGGGAACAAAATGACATTTTTGTGGAACAGATACTTCCGGATTTTTATTTGTGTTAGGAGATGAATATGTGATATATTTTGTTTGAGTACATATACCTATATGTATACAAAAATACATCACTACATGTATCTGTGTAAAAACTCGAGTCATAGTACCTAATTAGATTTATATATTTTTTTTATGGTATAAGTCGGCAAACGAGCAGCCGGATTAGCTGATGGTAAGCGATCGGCGCCGCCCATGGACATCCGCGACAACAGAGGAGTTACGAGTGCGTTGCCGGCCTTTTGGGGATGGGGGTTGCGGATATAAGGATTGGGAAAGGATAGGGAAAGGGGAGGGATTGGGCCTTTGGTAACCTCAATCACGCGGCGAAACACCACGCTGTGGGCTGTTTCACGCCGGTATTCTGTGAGGCCGTGGTATCACTCCGGTCGAGCCGACCCATTCGTGCCGAAGCTTGGATCTCCCACACTTTTTTAAGTTATACGTTAATAAACTCTCAGACGGATTAGCTGATGGTAAGCAATCGGCGCCGCCCATGGACATCCGCGACAACAGAGGAGTTACGAGTGCGTTGCCGGATTAGGGGAGAAAAGGATTTAGGCCTCAGCAAATTCACGCACATTGTTGTCGGGAAAATATTTATTATGCATGTGTGTGTGAGAGATTCATACATACATGTGTGTGAATTCAGGGAATAAAATTAACGCAATATCTACCGACATATTAATAAATTTCCCAACGGATGTGTCCACTCACAATCAATGGAGTATAAAAATATACATTTTTCTTTAACATAATATTTTTAACACACATTTATTTTATATTTTTTTCTCCACTTTATTCTGTTATTCGGGGCGGAGACAAATACTAGGTACTAATCAAAATAATGATATTCTGTTGAGCCGTTTTTGAGTTATAAACGGTGATGACATACTATTTTCTTCTTATAATAATATCTACGTATAAAAATGAATTGCTGTTTATTAGTCCTGCTAAAAGCTCTGAAACTGCTAGATCGATTTAATTAAATTTTGGTCTTGAAATATTTGTGGAAGACTAGAGAAATACGTATGGTAAGAAATACAACATAACGATGTCATTGTTTCACGCCGGTGTTTGTGAAGCTGTGATATCACTGCTGCTATTCATATATATATCTCTCTAAAACTTTTAAACGAGCAACTCTTGTGTATAGGTCTTTATATTTACACTATACTCTGGTACTTACAGCTTCTCATAAACCGCTACAACGATTTCGATGGATTATCGTATGCTAAGAGTTTTGGGGGACGAAAAATCAACCTAGACAGATTCCATTTTTCCATTTTTAGAACGATACCAAAAAAAAACGAGCAGGACTCATTTATCCAGATACTAATAGATATAATAAGCCAGGGTTGTGGGTCAAGCGAAATAAGGTACTGCTGCCTCGGCCTAGAAACAGGAGATGGAACTGGGGGTTATCAGTCAGTAAGCGTCCGACACTCCCTCTTGCTGTACCCTGGGCGACAGAAGTCATTTAATGATTTGCCCTCCTCAAAAATAAGGTAATAATATGTGCATCATCAACCTCATCATCCATTACTGCCAATTCAGTAGAAGTCTGTAGTAACATTTCTCATATCTTTAACATATTAATGTTGAAAAGCTCGTAACTTAACCGGATGAGTAGCAGACATCAGCAAAGTCGCTTGCAGACATAATTTGGAACACAATCCTCCCATTAGAATAAGGAAGCCATGACAAAGTTTTCTTTGAACACATTATCTTGTTCCCAGAACTTAAGTAATGAAGGAAATTCGTTTCCTTGACAAACTATAGCATTATGCGTTTCTTACAATTTATACATTGGTAAGGAGTAATGTTAGAATGGAGTGCACAGTTTTTTAGGTTAGGTTAATTTTGTACATTATTTGTTTTGTTTCTTAAATTCTAGACTTAGAAGTTCTTCCTAATATACATATAACAGTGATCAATATAGTTTATTAAAAATTTTGAATTAAGTAAAAAGACAAGTCAATGATGGTCTTAGCTTAGCGCTGGAAGAGGAAGGACTGAAGTGGACTACATTTTTTTTTAAATAAATAGATATACATTTGGCCTCTACCACGTCTGGTGACAAGCGATAACGACCTGCGATGAAGCACGCTTACCCATAATCAATCTATTCACTCGGGCCTTAAAGACAACCAGGTTACACCCTTCGGGGAATACAGACTTCGGCAAAGAATTCCACTTCTTTGCGGTTCTGATAATAACACTTACCATTATCATCTTGATTCAAGTGTATAATGTAAAACATTTATGATTGTACAAATAGGTATCTAAGTAGTCATCAATAGGTATGTAAGTAAGTGGATTCTTTCGTAATATTGTATACATTTGTTATTGTGTCATGAATAATAACACAAAGATATTGCAATACCATAGATATGTTATCTATATTTCAAAGAAAAAGAAAGTGACTGTGTGTAATCTCAATTATTGTTTGTTTGTATGTATGTTGCAATGTCAAAACGATCAATAATTTTCTTCGTGGTAAACAAATAATGACACTTTGCTTTTTCTTTTTTTATATTTCACATTGTTTCAATTGCATTTGATTAGAGAGATTTTTCAAATATCGGCTAGATTTATAAATATGAACGCGGAATTTATCCGAATATTTGCTGCTACGCTGCATGTTTGTCCTCCTCACAGAAAACCGGCTTAAAATAACGCTTTTTTTATAAAACAAAGAAAGACGAGCCAAAGACTAAAGTCTGGGTAAATCATCTATGACCGGCAACGCGCCTGTAACCCCTTAACACCAGGTGATCTATCTGCACGTTTGGCTCTTTACCTACATAAAAACTTCTTATGTGTAATGTTTCGTCTTCGATAATATTCTTCCTTCATTTTGCAGTACAGTCAGTAGGTATTCACTTAGCTTTATCGTTAGATCCAATGAGCACTCCATTATGTCACTACTCCGTGTAAACCTCTAAGTTTACGATTGAAGCATATAATAGGAATTGCCACTTTACTAAATTCGTTTGTAGAAAGTGATTATTTGTATTACTATGCAAAATTGTGTTTTACGCTGTTTGTCATTCCATGAAGAAAATAGTAGTAGATCTTTGTTTAGATAAAGTTTCTATCAAATTTGTTGTAATTTTTTTTTCACTTGTCTTGGTGCTTGTTTTATAATGATGTTATTATGATGATAAGTTTAATAATTTAACATTAGTTTTGTTGAATATAATAGGTGTGTTTATCTAAAATTTAAAACTTACATAGGTACACACAATGATATAATAAGTAAAAAGGTGTAGATTGGTTACAAGCGCTCAGCTAACTTTTTTTTAATCATGCCATCTCACTTTCACGTCTAGACATACGAATTGTTCATGAGTGTATCAGTTTGTCATTTTTGAAAATCGTTTTGTTTAGGTAACCTAACTACACCATTTCACTTATAATATCATTGGGTACACAGACAAACCTGAATGTATAACTAAGCTTCTTTCTCATGTCCTTTTCTAAATATTCTAAGTAGTATATTTTATCTGTTTATTCACTTACTTATAATGAATTCAAATACTAGACGATACAGACAATATAGAAAATAGTAATGCATATTTGCATAAAGTGACAGTTGGCCACTGAGTCGCCATATTGGTTTGATTGGTATTGTAGACTACAGCGCATCAAGCTACTCCATTGTGTCAATTAAGTTTACTAGAGTTTTAACCTTATCTAATTGTAATACAGTTGAAAAATGTTTGACTTCGGTGTTCATGTGATTGTTCGAAATGAAATTGAAATTTCGAACAAATTTTTGAAATGATAAAAAATAACGTTTTTAATAAACAACATTATTTCATCGAAAAGTAATAAAATTTAATTTAATATGTATTCAAATTAAGAAAATATTTATATTGTGTTTTAACGTCATGTTTTTGTGTGTCAAATAATATACATATTTGTTGTACGTTAAAATTCGAACATTGTGTTTAATATATGCGTACTTCGTAGTTGAAATGAATTGTTTTTGTGCTAGGAACGTACTCGATTGTAATTGAAACGTAAATAAAATTGCTTCGAATTTCAAATTTAATTTTTGTAACAGACGAAGAGACTTGGGGTTTTACCAAATATCCCTTTAAGATACGTCACCTAGATATCAAATGACCAGACGACACTCGCTAACAGCAAAAAGTAACCTTCATGACATTTTTTAACTCTTTACATTCAACATTTGCCAAGAAGACAGTAGTGAAACAAAATATCTTACACATAAAACTGATTTAAGACAAGCATTAATATTATTTATGAGTGTCTGCGGCACCAACTATTATTTTCTCTATGGAATCGGACATAATCACGATATCCGAACACATTTAGACGACCGATTTTCTCAATCAACACGATATGTTCTACTTCGAACGAAAACCATGTCGCCAACGTCCACGTCATTGAAAATAAGCCAACATTAACAAAACGCAAAGAAAACAGTGAAAATACATTAATCAAAAAACGAAATATATCATAAATGCACCTCTGGTTACGTAATAAGACGCAAACGTGCTGTTTACTTGCGTTTTCCTCGATTTTCACGCGCCGACATAAAGTTAAACAAGGATGGAAATAAAACAACGATAGTTTTCATCGAAGGGGAGAAAGAGATAGATGTATGCGCTCGCTTTCGCCCGCGGTTCCAATTACAGCGCACGCGCATCGCTGAAAGCTCACTCGCGCGGGTAGTCTTCAGTCATCTAGCAAAGCTCGGTGCGTGCGGTTGTCTCGTGTGTGTCGAACATTTATCGAATTTTCACGTACGGAGCTGAACTTTTGATGTGACTGTGTCAAAGTGTTTGTGTTATTCAACTTTTGGTGACGTTTAGTGTAGTAAACTGATATATTGAAGGCTGTAGTGACTTTCAGTGAGATTGCAGATCCTTGGTGCGGGATTTGTGTTCATTCCGAGAAGTTGGTAAGTCGATTTGTGTTATTTTAAGATATAATTAAATATAGACTCGCGTGTTTTATATGAAAATATAATTAGTTTCATGTGTAGTGAGTCAGATTTCTTGGTATTGTTTTTTCGAGTACGATTAGATAGAGTATAATATTTTTCTAAGAATTTTCATAATTAATGGTGACATTAGATTTGGCGGGAATTCGTTATTAGGTTCGTATATTATTATTTGGAGTGTGGTACTATCAAAACAATACGATTTATTATTATTGTTTCAAGTATCATAAGTGGCCAGTGGTGCATTCAAATTTTTTATTAGTCATACTTACTAAATTATTTATTAAAAGTTATTTATGTTCGTGTTATAATTTTTATATCTAAGCGATATTATAACGATATACATACTCGAAAAAAGTTCTCTAGTTTATGAATATTTAGCGAATTGATTGATTTGAGCTATAGTTATTTATTATCAATTTAAAAAATACAAGTTTTGTGATTAGTAAAACATGTAAAATGAATTAAAAATATTTGCAACATAACATCAAATATTATTTTCAACGCGTTATGAAAAATAAATGTATAAAAAAATCATTGACATAAATCTTTTCCGCCACATTGATTTGTAAGGTTTAAACAAAATATGGATGAACGAAAAAAAAATTCGCCCGCCAAAAACAAGAGACAGTCACTGTAGGAGTACATATTTACACGCGTAATAGTGTGGGTACACTAATAATTGAATTTACTAGAAAATTAATAAAAGAAAGAAAACATCAATCAGCCGAGTTTATGTTAAAAATCCTCAAAATCAAAGAATATGTCAAACAATTAACATGACATGACCTTTTTTCGAATTTAAAAAAAAGGAAGAAACATGTAGGCAATAAATAAATCTTTACAAAGACAGTCTTTCGAGGATGATGCTCGGGCGGGAATCGAACCAGTGTCCCTTTTAGCATTCAGCCGGCGTCCTAACGCGTAACACGTGGCAAACAATGTGTTTTTGTTGCTTAACGAACAGTGACATGAATGGAGATGCCAGTCTATTAATATAAATTACATTTTGTTTAAATTGTATTGTGGTTAGTTTTGTTCGTCACGAACACGATTTGTTGTATTTTGTTGGTTAAAATATAGTTCTAGTAGATAAACGGGCGATATCTAATTAAAATAGAAAGAAATAAAAAAATACATATTTTATTTGAACCATACGTAAACGATGTGTGTAAGAGTCTTAATTATTAATATGAAATATTGCCAATAAAATTACTAAAAACGCCCATGAATTATCCTAAATATTAATATGAAATAATGCAAATAATATTACCAAAAAAAATGCCCATGCTGACATGAATATTCTTACAGACAAATAATTTTTCAAAAAAAAGTTCCCTCATACCTTAATTTTTCAACGAACTAACACGATAAGCCAATATCAAAAAGAAAACATTACTCAAAAAGAAAAAAATCTTAACGAATAACTGACCAGCGACGACTCCTCAGTTCGGATGCGACCCTGTTCTTTCCGGTGAAGCTAACGTGTGCGTAACACGTGGTTCTGTAGGTAGCGACAAAAAAACAGACAGACATACAGTGAAGATGTTACCCTTAATCTGGTCCCTTTGAAGGCAGGCCTTAATTAAATATTTCGGACACGTTCGGCGATTTCGTAAAAATCCGTTCTGGTGATTTTTGGTTGTTGTACTAATAGTATTATTATATGGCTTCGCAATGTAGTTCAATGCTGATGATGATGCCACTATTAAAAGGATGCTATTTATTATACATATAAACCTTCCCCTTCCATCACTCTATCTATTAAAAAGTGCAAAATGCATTGCGTAGTTTTGAAGGTTTAAGCATACATAGAAACAGAAAATGCGACTTTGTTTTATAAATCCGTACTACGCATTTTAAGTGAAATGGTTGCCACGACATTATAACTAAGGAATTCTAGGTTTGAAATTGGACCCTTGTCAAACCAATTAAGGAGAAATTTTCCTCAGAAAAAAATATTATATATTTATTATTTTAGTATAAAATATTATACTAAAATAAATGCAAAGGCCATTTCATAAATTACATTGAATTTTAAGCCTTCAAGCAGTGTTCAAAAAGTTGTAATTTTATCAACCGACAGGATCCTTAAAAATTATACTTATAGAATTTCTAATCAATATGTTTCGAAATAATAACCGAGATTGTGTTGTCACTTAATTATTAACATACATAAAAAACACACAATTTTGAACTTTATTAACTTAACCCATAAAACACAATACTTTTTAACCCGAGATTCGTAGCGCGAACGAGAAAATATAAACGGTTACCTACCGTTTATACGTTCGACAGTTTATAGGTATCATACGAAAATAAACTTTATTCCAACAGCATAACACATTTCTGCGAAATCATATTTTTTATTTTGATCATAACAATATGAAGGAATACACGTAAACAGTAGTTCCGTAAAATGATGTTAAGTGTGGAACAGCCTTGCTTTGGCATGATGGATAGGCTCCAGCCACTGAAGTGATACCACGGCCTGGCAGAATGACGCCGTGAAACAACCACGGCGTTGTGTTTCACCCTATGAGGTTACCGAGGACCCAACACTTCCCCCCATTCTTAATTCCCTAACAACCTTCAAAACGGAATTATTTTACTTTTAACCTTTGTTGTTGCTAATTGATTGTGATTGCTAACAATTAGGTGATCCGTCTCTACGTTTCCGATCCACGGGTCGGCTCGACCGGAGTGATACCACGTCCTCACAGAAAACCGGCGTGAAACAACCACAGCGTTGTGTTTCGCCGTGTAAGTGAGGTTACCGGAGGCCCAATCCTTCCTCTCCCCCAATCCCTCCTCAATCCCTAAATATCCAAATCCCTAATCCCTAAAAGGTCGGCAACGCACTCGTAACTCCTCCGTTGCTCCGTCCGAGGTAATACATCTGCTCCTTTGCCGACCTATTACAAAAAAAAAAACTTTAATAAAATTGCACATCAGTTTCTCTGTTTCAAACGGTTTGTTAAAATACGCCTTAATATCTAATTCTAAAGTATTGAAACCTACTTACCTACATAGTTTTCACTAGTTAAAAGCTACCAACAAAAAAAGTATACCTAATGGTCTGTCAACTCATTTCACTTTGTATAGTATAAAATAAAGTTGCTTTCTCTGTCCCTATATGTATGAACAATGGTAATCACGATCCTCAATCAAGATGGATATAAAATATATCGGATACTTGTAGGGAGAATGATCTGGAATATGGTACAAGTCTTACGGATGTTAATACTTAATAAATATTTGTTATTTTTTACAAAGAACACAATAAAACCAAACTATGTTTATTTTAAATAGCCAAGCTACGCTATATGTTACATTTTTTGATAAAAAACTTTTTGTTCTTCAAACTTTAGGTATTTGTAGTGCCACCATATTTTGGCGTTACCAATGGAATTCAAATTAAGAAGATAGATTTTGAAAAATGGAATTACGCTGTTTTTTTTATATATGATTATAAACAAAATAATTTCACTTATCGTTTGGCATTGAACATTATATTTCAGTCATGTGTTACTATTTTTTTCACATTTCATTAGAAATAATTTATGAGAACATTCTAATATGTTTATTCCTCATCAAATCATTTCGTCTCAAACGAGTCGCGTCTAATGGTGACATACATATAGGGCACATATCTGTCTAAAATATAAAAGTACCTACTAGCTTCCACCCGCGGCTCCACCCACATGGTATGTTGATAAAAAGCTTATGTCTTATTCCGGAGTATATCCTATGCCTATACCAAATTTAATCCAGATTCGTCCGGCCGTTTTGGCGTGATTGAGTATCAAACATCCAAACATCGTAACTTTCGCATTTATAATATTAGTAAGATGGTCACCCGCGCCGCCCACCAGCGCCGGAGTTGATTAGACATCAGAATTATTGAGAAAACCTCTATTCTAGGTCATGAGTCAAGTAATGGAACATTTTATTATTGTTTATTTTTTATTTGCTAATCGAATCGAGTTGGGTGGCGAGCAATATTGTAATGATCACACATTCTTTAATTAAAAAAAAAACTTTGACAAGTATTTAGAATATTTTTACTTCTCGCTTTAAAAATGGCCGCCGTATTCGTTGTTCGAAGTGGTAGGTGTGCGAGTTAAAAACAATATTTTTACTGCTTGCCTGTCTGTCTGTCTGTAAAATTTAAAATGATTGATGTTCCAGTAATAAAATTGACATGAAAAGTTTAATCTTGGAAATATAATGGAGTTTCAGTGTAGTCATAGTAATATTGTAGAGGCCGCCATTTGTATGACGTCTTAGATACATATGATTTTACGATTCTGTGCTGGGCTTGGAGATTTTTGGCTTGGACATATTTTATATAGAAATTATTAGAATTATAAGCCGGGGTAGAAGCAGTACACAAGGGATAACACATCTTAAGTTTGGATCGCTAACTTAAAATTGCACTGCAAATTTTGACCTGTATTAAGCTATTAACTTTGATCACAAGCTATAACAAACTTCCACGATTTTTCTCACGGATAAACACACGGAGAAACATTTTCGATATTTACCAACTATACTTATTGCGAAAAATGGCATCTTCATTGTGCAGTTAAGCATATGTATTTTAATAAATGATAACATTATCTTATCTATGAGCTTTGGAATTAGATTTAACCAAATTACCACTCTCCGCTACTCTGGTTCTGGCTACCTGTTTTTTTTTATTGTATAAGTCGGCAAACGAGCAGACGGATTACCTGATGGTAAGCAATCGGCGCCGCCCATAGACACCCACAACACCAAAGAAGTTACGAGTGCGTTGCCGGCCTTTTGGGGATGGGAGTAGCGGATATAAGGATTGGGAAGGGATAGGGGAAGGAGAGGGATTGGGCCTCCGGTAACCTCACTTACACGGCGAAACACAAGGCTGTGGGTTGTTTCACGCCGGTATTCTGTGAGGTCGTGGTATCATTCCGGTC